GGTTCATAATCTTCCGACATTCCCAAATCAGGGCTAAGGCTGGATGTTGAGGGACCCATATTGGGATATACAGAAGACTGAAATTGTGTGTGGGGTATGCGGGTGTGTTGGTATTGTGATTGGAATTACGGTTGGGTGTGAGGCATATGGGGGTATTGGTACTGAGGTGGTGATTGTTGTTGGTTGTGGGGAATTTGGGTGTAATTGTGTTGTGGTGGGGACTGTAGTTAGGTGTTTGTGGTTCTGTTTAGTCAGGGGGTTGGTGGGAGGTTGATGTGTGTTGGGTTTGTTGTTGGGGAAACGAGGGTTGTGCCCATTGTGTTCGTGGGTCAACCAAATACCTTGGATGAGACACGTGCATTTCAGGGTTACTAACCGACCTGTACCAAGATAAATACTGATCCGTGTGTCGCATAATACCATGATTGAGGAAAACCGGGAATTACAAGACATGTCGGTGACGCCTCTGCCACATCTTACACCATTCTGGAGCAAAGTCTTTCCAGTTGGTAAGACCCCATTGGGCGTCGACTCTTTTGAGATACCGCGGGGACAAACAAGTCGGATCACTGAGTATCTCTTGATGCATTCTGAACTGCATCTTCACACGGTCGCTGTGGTGCATCTCCACAACATTGAACCGTATGATTGCAGTCTTGGCGCTCCAAATTGCTGCATCCTCGGGGTTTGGTTCATGGCCCAAACCCAAATATGGTCTCGAGACAAACTGCGCGTAAAAATAAATCAGGTTAATGAAAGCGTAATACATAAATAATTTAAAAGTAGGAAAGTTGAAAGGTACGACGTACATCATCCGGGCCTAGGTGATCCAATAGATTGCGGTATAGTGCGACATTGAATCTTGGATTCTTGCCGTAATCCATACCCCTCACGCAATACCTAAAGGAAATGAAAAACATTTTATTTTTAGCATATATTTGGTGAAGAGATGAATAGTAATAAATGATATAACTTGATGACTTAGTTTGTTGCGTACGAGAAAATGAATGTGTTGTTGTTGACGGGGTTTAAGGAATCCATCCTCCACTAACCCCAGGCTTGAAGTAAAAAAGTGCAGCCATAAAATGTACATTTTTCCTTGACTGCATTTTTGCACAAGGAACTGTATAGGTGGGCTAAAACTGCAGAACCCCAACTATAATTTCTTGTTTTTTCAAAATCTTAAGTAAATGTAAATACATAAAATTTACACTATTTCCCGTACTTTCGGAAAATAAAAAGGTTCCAAATAGTATCATTAGATAAGTTCTAGCTTTTATTACCCTGTCTTGCTCGGAGGAATTTTCGTTTAATTCCAAACTTGCATAATGATTTTTAAGCTCAGTGAGTAGTATACCCTGACCTCTCGCACCACCACCTTCAACCATATCCCTTCCCAACAATTCTTCACACTGAGAATTGGGTTGTTAAACCGACCCGTTAACGGCCTTACCGTCGACAGGGAGACCCAGTAACATGTACACATTCTCTAGCGTGACGGTACATTCACCTATTGGTAGGTGAAATGTATGGGTCTCTGGTCTCCACCTTTCCAATATTGAAAGAATGAACTATGAATCAATTGTGCAGTTGGAGATCTTTATAACATGTCTGAAACCTGCGTATTCCAAATATGGTACGATAAATGGGTCGGGAGCCAGGTAGTTGTGAGACCAGATTCTAAATCTTTTGGTATCCTGAGTTAATAATGTAAAAGGTGTAATATTAAGTAAGATGAACAAAACATTACCTGAAGTATAAAAAATGTATAACTAAAATAGAAACTTACAAATGCGGCAATATTGTCCCTTGTGCCTCTGTGAGAATCGCCCATTGTGAGAAGAGTCATTGTTGAAAATGCCTGAGATTATGAAATACTTAGAAAGTGTAAGAGATTATGAAAGACTTTGTAGCAGAGAGTGAGAAGATTGTGGGTGTGAGAGAAGTATGTTATACTCTGTATTTATAGGCAAAAAAATTTCATAGAGTAAGTGAGGTGGTAGCTGGTGCATGCATGCTTGATAAGTGTCACTCTTGCAGAGTAGGCACAAGCAAGGTGGCAGCCTTGGAGAAGGCATCTCTGCATGCATGTAACACGATTGGACATTAAGGGAGGCGCCATTGGACTTGGCGAAAGAGTTCAAAAATTAAAGGTGTCGCCATCCCCATTGGCGAATAAGAGGTGTCATGGTTTCCAGAGTAGGCGCAGGCTAGGTGACAACCTTGGGGATGCCATGCCTGAATGCATGTAACACTATTGGAAGTCATGGGAGGAGACTTACAAGTAACAATGTAGGTGCAGAGTAGGCGCATGTAAGGTGGCAGCCTTGGAGAAGGTATATCTGCATGCATGTAACACGATTGGACATTAAGGGAGGCGTCATTGGACTTGGCGAAAGAGTTCAAAAGTTAAAGGTGTCGCCATCACCATTGGCGAATAAGAGGTGTCATGGTTTCCAGAGTAGGCGCGGGCTATGTGACAACCTTGGGGATGCCATGCCTGAATGCATGTAATACTATTGGAGATGATGGGAGGAGACTTACAAGTAACAGTGTAGGTGCAGAGTAGGCACAGGCTAGGTGGCAGCCTTGGAGAAGGCATCTCTGCATGCATGTAACACGATTGGACATTAAGGGAGGCTCCATTGGACTTGGCGAAAGAGTCCAAAAATTAAAGGTGTCGCCATCCTCATTGGCGAATAAGAGGTGTCATGTTTCCAGAGTAGGCGCAGACTAGGTGACAGCCTTGGGGATGCCATGCCTGAATGCATGTAAGACTATTGGAGGTGATGGGAGTAGACTTACAAGTAATAGTGTAGGTGCAGAGTAGGCGCAGGCTAGGTGGAAGCCTTGGAGAAGGCATCTCTGCATGCATGTAACACAATTGGAAATTAAGGGAGGCGCCATTGGACTTGGCGAAAGAGTCCAAATATTAAAGGTGTCGCCATACGCAATGGCCTCTGCACCCCAATATATCATCAATGCACATTTCAACAGTGAGACATACATTTGTCCCACCTCTGGGTTTTTGTTTAGAGACACAGACAACATCCGAAAGCCGGTAGATGGATCGACAATATTCCGATGGAAAAATGGACTAGGTCATACGATAATGGCCAAAGATGGGGGCACATGACAACGAATCTTATTGAATCGATGAATGGGGTATTCAAAGGCATACGAAACCTCCCGATCACTGCTTTGGTAAAATCTATGTATTTTAGGATGGCTTCGTTGTTTGCCAAAAGAGGTGAAATGTGGAATGCGGTGTTGCAATCTGGACAACTATGGAGTGAAAGCTGCATGAAGTACATTAAGGCAGAAAGTGCCAAAGCCAACACTCAAATGGTTATACGGTTTGACCGACACAACCACAACTTTATTGTGAAAGAGACAATCGACCACAACGAAGTCCTACCAAGACAAGAATATAGGGTCATACTACCTTCTCGTTGGTGCGATTATGACAAGTTTCAAGCCTTTCGTGTGCCTTGCTCTCATGTCATTGCCACTTGTGCTTATACCTATCAAGACGCGCTACAACTTCTGTCACACATTTACAAATCTGAAACGTTGCTCAACGTTTACAACAACAGCTTTCCTTTGGTAGCAAAACTAGATTATTGGCCTGCATACGACGGCGAAATAGTGTGGCACAATGACCAAATGCGAAGGAACAAGAAGGGTCGTCCCAAAAGTAAGCGCATCACAACCGAAATGGACAACCTTGACAAGCTGGAAAGAAAGTGTGGTTTATGCCGTTAGGTCGGACACAATTGCAAAAATTGTCCGAATCGGGCGTCTGCCCCGACCACATAAAAATTGTAATACATAAAATCTTTCATTAATTATGTTGTAAACATTAGGGTTTTTCGTTAACAGTATTTGCTACAATAAATATTGCGCGTACAAGAAAAAAAACACGATATTCCGTCTACGAAATTACAACTGTTAAAACAATTTCATTTGACCCATGCATCATCAATATTACGTCGCTGTCTGTTTTGACTTCCTCCAACCATACATTAGGTCTTCCAGTCACATGTGAGGTTGTTGTTCGTCTTCGCTGGATCCTTCGAATTTTTCTCCCTCCACAATGTCTCCATCTAGCCATCGCATCAACTCCCGCTTCAGACGCTCCATAGAGTGAATGTGCCAGAATTTCATTTTCATCGCAGGTTTCATGGCGGAGAAGATAACGTAACCATCTCTGGTAAAAATCATGGGCGATGTCATGACGCAAATAACAGAGTAAAAAATAATAAAACAGTGCGAGAAAGTGTGAGAAATGACGGAGAAATGGACGAATTATTTATAAAAACAACATTTTGCTCTAGGAGCCAAGTGAGATGGCGCCTCCTCTCACTTTTAAAGTGCATACGCCATCTCACTTGGCTAAAAGAGAGAGGAGGCGCCAAGTGAGATGGCGCCTAGGGCAAAACCCTAGGTGGAGGCGCCAAATGAGATGGCTCCTCCTTTAAAGAGTCATCTGAAACATGGTTATTTGCATAATTTTTTCCGAAACGTGGTTATTTGCGATTTTTTTTTAATACATGGTTATTCAAAAAAAAAAATTCAGAAATCGTTGATTAAATCATACGATTGAAATCTAATCAAAATTTAGACATAAAATTTATTTGTGAGCGATACGTGATGATATTGAAACATTCTTAAATTGTGTATAAAGGATTCGTGATATGCATATTAAATCGGTGAATGAACACCAATTCACAACAAACCTATTTCTCTGAAACCATCTTTATTTATTATACGCATTTGCTTTTCGTAACTTATAAGTCAAACATCTTGAAAACTTCTGCTTAGAATAATAGAAATTGTTGAACAGTTTTGATATCTCTCCAATCTTTGTGGATACGATAAAAAACAATACTTACATTTGATTAGAATTTGGTAAGTTCTACTTTGGTAAGTTCAAATAACTCAATCTGATTAGAATTTGCGTACTAATTTGAATGATCACTGGCCAAGGTTCCTGCCTTATGATGTTTCTTTTGCTAGGAAAACTCTGCGACGGGCGTTTGATTGCGGTGAAACACATGTATGATAACAAATTTAGGAGAGTTGAGCAATTTGTGCATGAATTTGAGATCTTAACTCATTTACACCATCAAAATCTTGTGTCTCTATACGGGTGCACTTCGCGCCACAGTCGCAAACTTCAGCTTGTATATGAATATGTCTTTGATGGAACTGTTGTTGATCACCTTCATGGTTCCAAAGCAAAACCTGGCATGCTACCTTGGCATATCAAGATGAAAATTACAGTAGAAACAACTAGTGCATTAGTGTATCTTCATGCATCTGACATCATCCATAGAGATGCGAAAACCAACAACATTTTACTAGACAATCATTTTAGTGTCAAAGTAGCTGATTTTGGACTTTCGCGTCTATTTCCAAATCACGTCACACATATTTCAACTGCTCCTCAAGGGACTCCCAGTTATGTGGATCTGAAATACCATTTGTACTATCAATTTATCGATAAAAGCAATGTATTTAGCTTTGGAGTTGTGTTGATTGAGCTGATATCATCCATGCCCGGTGTTGATATATCACGGAACAAGCAACACATCAATTTGTCTAACATGGCTATTAAGAAGATTCAAAATGGGACATTGCACGAGCTTGTTGATCCTACACTTGGTTTTGGATCAGATTTCAAGGTAAGGAAAATGATCAAATTTGGTCGCTGAGTTAGCATTTCAGTGTTTACAGAGTTCTAAAGATGTTAGACCTTCTATGGTAGAAGTGATGGAAAGGTTTAAGGATATTCAGAGTGATGGAACATATAATTATAAACCTGAGGTGTTGGATATCTCAAAAGATGATGATAGTGGTTTTGTCAAGAATGAGCCACCACCATCATCACCAGATTCAAACATCAATACTTTTCCTTGAATATCATCCATGTATATTCATGTAGATATCACTTTTATTTTTCCATTTTTTATGCTATAAATCTATCATCCAAATCTACAAATACATAAAAACTCTAGTGTGTTTCAAAAAGAATCTTAGTAGTAATAATGTTATGCCAACTATATACAATGTCTGCCACCACCTTCACCGAGATATGAACTAGCATGTCAACCATCATAAGTGGTTATCTATAAAAGATCCAATATAACAAACTTCAATAAAAATTAAAAAGAGTGGGGCATATCAAAATATAGTTTCAATTAACATTGCTATGAACTAGTGAAGCTATAACTAATACAAAATGCTTGTTAATGATTCTTGACATGATTCTCTTCTTCAAAACAGTGGGTTGAATTAATATATCTAGCACTTGTAATCTAAATTATCTTATCTTAAATCAATGGTCGTAATCATCTTCAACTCTAAAAATTTAGATTGAACATAATTCGACTCTTCACGCTAATAAATATAGAGTTAAATATATTTGTGGACCTCCTAAATATTGTATGTTTACTTTTAGTTCCTCAAAAATTTGCTTCAAAAAATGATCCTTCTAAATTTTTTTACCATATTTTTGGTCACTCCTGCAATTTAGTGACTATTTTTTACAACTTAGCGACATAACTAGTGATGATTTATACTTAACAACTAGATTAGTGACCATTTTTGAGACATTTTTAGCAAGAGAGACCAAAAGTGTGATGAAAATATTTAGGAGGACCATTATTCGAAGAAATTTTTTATTGAGACTGTTCTTTTTTGAGCCTGTGGCTGGCCCATTGTCGGGCACGACCCAACTTGCCACTGTGTCAAGGACGGCCTAAATGATAGCCCAATCCATTGGGGCTCAAGCTGGAAAAAAATTATCCACGTGCCCCTCACCCGGGGACACGTCATCAACGTGTTCCGCACACTTCGAAGTCATTGCGCCCTTCGTAACGGACGTGGTCAGCCCACTACCCGCGAAGTTCGGAGCAATTGACCCAGGATGATGGAACATGCTGCTCATCCTCACTCCCACATTAGAATCCTGGCAGCCATCCATTATGGGCCTGGATACTCTGCCCATAATGGAGGCCATTGGCCCAGCGCTGGGGGCTCTGTAAATACTCTCCGACGCAGAAGAGTCAGGTATCTAATTCATATCTCTCAACTCTCTCATTTACCTCACACTCTTTCCGACTTCAACAATGGAATGTTTGAATCAACAGACGCTTAGGACCAATCACTCCTCTTTCTGATAACCAGTAAGATGAGGGACTAAAATCAAATTTAAGTTATTTATATGGACGAAAAACATATTTAACAAATAAATATATGTTTTAGATCATATTTATATCTTATTTTAAATCAACAGTCAAAATTATCTACAACTCTTAGAATTTGAATTAGGTTTAACTCAACATTTCAAAATCAATTTCTTAGGTGATAAATGATGCTTTTAAATTTTGACACACATCATTGCACCAACACTATTGATATTAAGACACGAATAAAAATAATAAGTGACTCGATATCATAAAATTAAATTGTATCTAGGATATTTTAATTTTTATATTAGAATTAATTAAATTTAACAAAATCGATTTGTAAAGTGATTAATTTGTTCACTTTTATATATATATATATATATATATATATATATATATATATATATATATATATATATATATATATATATATATATATATATATATATATATATATATATATATAGGTCATATTTGAGACTCTTAATAAATACCTAATTAAGTTAAGTTATTATGTTCTTTCACGGGATCAAGATCTTTGGCGAAATTATATCACTGATCATCTTTCAGTGAAGTTAAAGTTATATTATCATTTTCTATTGTAAAATTGAAAGTTTCAATTATACTAAAAAAAATTGATATGTCGTTTTGAAAAATAATTTTTTTTAAACTAAAGATAAATTTTTAATATTTTTTGAAAAAAGTATTTTGTATAAAATGATAAAATAGTGCTTCTCAATAATATATTTTTAATTTTTAAAATACTATAACAATAAAAATTATATTTTAATAATTTGTCTAAACCTTTAAAAACCCTCCAAACTCTTCTTTCTCCATATTAGGAGGACTTTGGTTTTTGAATAAAAAATAATCCTGCAAAACGCTCTTTAATTAAATCATTTTGTTGTTTTTACTCAATCCTTCCATATTTCTCAAAGTCCTCCTTTCCCTTCTCCTCCAAACTCCCAAACAAAATTTAAGGATAAAGTTCTTAATTTGTGAAGACAAAAATGATGAAGGTACATGTTTATAACCAATGAAACCCAATACATATTAAACAGGCAAAACACATAATCCATTAACAAACTAATCCCCAAACCAAAACAACCAAGCCCGATACATAAAAATTGTTTGAACCGGTTGCAATATTCGATGAACCCAAATCACTCGCAGAAACCGACTCGACTACATTACAGCCGCCCGATCCTTTGACCATCGTTGTTTGCCGCTCACCGAAGCTCTGTTATACATCGCTGTTACAAGAATGCCAGCCGCCACTGCTGCTGCGCCACCTCTAGAATGCTTGCATGCAATTTTGATGCCTTATGCAAATATCTTGGTTACTTTTCCTCCAAGATTTATAATTTATGCAATTCTGAAATAAGTTTTCTTCCTCTTCATCACTTAAAGTTTTAAGAAATACTTCAAAAATATCCACCTTGACTTGAAACCACAGTGATGTCAATTTATCTATCAACCAACTTTCTTCTCTCTGCCAATTCATTTTCTATTGAATTTTTTTTATCAAGTTCAAGCCTCGTTGCTTTAGTAGTCTAACAAGCTCACATGTATGTTTATTTGTGTTGGACAAGTGACTCCAAACACAAGAGAGTGTGTGGGTGAATTATATGGGCTTAAAAAACCATTTTTAAATAAAAATCTTTCATAAACTTAGAGTTTAAAAAGTTTTTGCAAAACAAACAAAGTAAAGGCAACAAAAATATGAAATCAACTGGATGGAAATGCAACAAAAATATATAATTGAAAAGTAATGAATTTAGGGGAAAAAGAAAAGCACCAGAGATTTATAGAGGCTCCGTATAATGAAATCACCTACTATTCTCTCCAAGATTTTCTTTTTGAGAGTTTTCACAATGATAGGAGTCTTTGACAAGTTTTGCCAATGTACCTCTTTATACAAGGTTTGGAGATTTACAATGGCTAACTTTCCAACCAACACATAATTTTAACTAAGGAAACCTCCAAACAAAGAGATTTTACCACCAATTCAATCTTGAACCGACAAAGAGCTTTAAACGTCAGGCTAAGCTCACAAACTGAATGAGAGTTTTAACTACAAAGACATTCCCTACCAAATAGAGGTTTTAATATGCTTACCTCAACAACCAAACAAGAGCTTTTCCCTTGGTTTATCTCACGACCAAAAAATATTCTCCTATTAAAAATTTACAATATTTCCCTTACACAAAACCATAAACACCTCACAAGTTTAAATATTTCACTCTAAAAAAGAGTAAGGAAAAGTTTGAAAATATATATATATATATATATATATATATATATATATATATATATATATATATATATATATATAGAGAGAGAGAGAGAGAGAGAGAGAGAGAGAGAGAGAGAGAATGAGAGAATGTATTTTAAATATGTTTTCTGGTGTATGAATAAGTGAATGAGAACGCTCTATTTGTAGGGGGAAAATTATGTTTAAAATGGAAAAATTCATGAGCTTTTTAATGTTAAATATATATTAGGCCAACCATACAATTGCTTATGAAGTTCAAAAATTGAAGGTTTTCAAAGGAGTCATTACTAATCGACAATTAACCTTAATAGTTAATTATTAGGAGTTACAAAAATGAATGATCGATTAGGCCTAAGGTCCAATTGATTATACAAAAGGTTTTTCAAAATACTCCAAAGCGATGTATTTAGCTTTGTAGTTGTGTTAATTGAGGTGATATGATCGATGCTTGTTGTTAATATGGAACAAGTAAGAAATTAATTTTTCGAACATGGCTATTAAGAAGATCCAAAATGGAACAGTGCACGAGCTTATTGACCCTACAATTGGTTTTGAATTTGATTTGAAGGTAAGAAAAATGATCAATGTGGTTGCGGAGCTAGCATTTCAGTGTTTGTAGAGTTCTAAAGATGTTAGATCTTCTATGGTAGAAGTGATGGAAATGCTTAAGGATATTCAGAGTGATGGAACATATAATTATAAACCTGAGGTGTTGGATATCTCAGGAGATGATGATAGTTGTTTGTTTCAAGAATGAACCACCACCATCATCACCAGATTCAAACATCAATACTTTTCCTTGAATACCATTCAAGTATATCTTTAATTTACATTACATATTCATGTAGATATCACTTTTATTTTCCATTTTTATGCTATAAATCTATCATCAAAATCTACAAATACATAAATACTCTTGAGTGTTTCTGAAAAAGAACCATAGTAGTAATGATTTATACCAACTATCCAATGTCTACCACCACCTTCACCAAAGATGTGAACTAACATGCTATCAATCATAAGTGGTTATCTATAATAGATATTGATCTTATCGGGATCAGAAGGATCTTCAGTGGCCCGTAACACTTGAGTTTCTATGGTTGTTAGAGAAAAAAACGATGGTGTGTCTGCAAGATACTCCGATGTCAAAGTAAGGTTCAGAGTAAAGAGAGAGAAAGTACAAAATTGGTGATAATGAATAGAATATCTGACCCTCTAGTGAAAGAGAGTATTTATAATGCCCTTAGCACTGGGCCAAGGTCTCCATCATGGGTTGGATTCTCTGGCCCATAATGGATGACTTCTAGGATCCTACGTGGGTAGGGAAGACCAGCATGTGATCTTCGTCCTAGGTCAAATTCCTCGTTATCTTTGGGTGGTGGAAGACTCATTCTTTATGGAGGGTAGAACGGCTCCGTGGGACACGCAGAGCAGCTGGCCACGTGTCTTCGAAT